AATGTCTCTCCAGAGGACACCTCGAGCATCGGACCACATGAAGAACCGCGTTGCACAAAAAATGTCTCAACAGAGACTAAGCGCCTCGCGCCAATTGCTAGTGAGTCACTGCTTATTCTACAACTCTTCCTCTTCATCATTTAGGTATTTCTCCTTCATCACTAGTTGTCTGTCTAGAAGCTCGTCCACGGTGTTCAGTTTATTGGGCAAGAGTCGCTAGAGGGGAACGATGTCATGCTGGTGAACAAATTTCAGAAGAATTACCAGACTTTGGTAGTAGCCTTCCAAGTCTGTGTCTGGGTTCGAAAGAAAGAAAGAGAAAGAAAGAAGGGGAAGAAGAAGGATTGGGAGGGGAGGGTAATAATGTAATTTTATTTTTTAATTAAAATATAAATATTTATTTATGCGACATTTTTATTTATTTATATAGCATAATTATAATATATTAATTGCCATGTCATCAAAAAATTAAAAGAAAATACCAAATGAAATTATTTAACTGTCACATCATGCTTAATTGACGGAAGAACCAAAATTGTGTAATTTTTAGAGTTAAAAGATCAAAAAAGTGAAAAAAATAATTTGACGACCAAAAAAATGCAAACCTATCAAGTTGAGGGATAAAATTTAGCATTTAATCTTTTTTTTTTCTTTTCCCGTGCAAGGAAGGTGACGTGAAGGGTATCATTAAGTCCACGTAAGCATTTTTTACACATTGGCATATCCACATCAACTGCTCCAGTTAAGTTAACATGCCATGTGAGCAAAAATATACGGAAGGACCAAAAAGGGGCCGGATTTGTGAACAGTAAGGACTAAAAATGGGATTTTTTCAGTATAGGGACCAAAAAGAGGCTTTTTCCTATAGTAGAGGGACCAAAAAGGGTATTTAACCAAAAATAAAATAAGAACAAAAATTTTACTACTCTAAGTTTTTTTTTTTTTTTATGATGCACTTTCTTGTTTCCTTTTCTTTTTAATATATTAGAGAATTAATTACTTAATAATATAGGGGTCTGAACTTTTAACTTTAACTCTAAATCAAAGTTTTTAAATAAGTAAATATTAATTTGGTCAAACTCTTATTAATCTATAATGCACTTTCTTGAGTGTTTCCAAATAAACATTAGCCACTTCAAAACTTCCTATGTAGAAAGATTGAGACTTGATTAGAGATTGTTAAAAGGTGGCAATAGTGTTTTAAACTAGTAATGAATTGTCTGTCCCCATAATTCCAATGATTTTGATGCACTGCCCACTAATTTTATGTCGTACCTGGAGACAGAAATGTGGCTAGGCATTGATATTGTTCCATTTTCTTGCCAGGGACAGCCTGGATTACACCCATAATTAAGATCTAATTTGGTTCTGTATACTCTCCAATAAGCTTTAGATTTGACATTGGAGTTTATATATGTTGTGCATTTAATCTGCTCGCTTCGTTCTACTAGCTAATGCAGCTATAATCTTTAAAAGGTTCAAGATTTACATTGTTAAACTAATAATTAGAAGGGGGAATTAGGCATTGCATAATTTATACAGACTTCTGACTCTTCTCCACCAATAGATATTAATCACTTCTAATAACACTAGTAAACATTTACTTGAATTAGCATTCATTAATTTAAAATTTTTAATTTAAATCAAAACATAGTAAATTGAAATGAAGAGAGTCCTGTATTTTTTTATTTGAAACAAAAAAATCATATTAAATCTAACAATGACAGATTATTTTACAGTCTGAACCATTTTGGATGATGAATGAGTGGTGATGTTGTTAATTGTCACATCTTCAATTATTAATATCACATTTTTTTTATTTTGATTAACCATTATACCCTTTAACTTATTAGAAAACAAAAAATATAAAAGTTTTAAAAAAATGTAATGTAAGAATATAATAGACAGTTATATTAAAAGACTATAATATTAATTATTTAAAGTGTGATAGTAATCTTACTTTTGAATGAAAGATGAGACTCTAATATTAGGTCTCTTCTCTCATTTAAAAATTTTTATTTTACAATTTAAAATAATTTAGAGTATAAAACAATGGATTTATCTAATAAATAATTTAAAAAAATTGGTTTCATACCTACAACGCCTTCCAGTTGCCAATTAAAAAGCTAACACGGTAGCCATCTAAATTTGCGGCCAGTAATAAAACAAGTAAATGCATGTCCAACAATTCGTCACAATACACATTAAATAAAAAAATCGTCACAATAGTAATGGAAAATGAATGCATATCATTTCATTAGTCTTATGTGTCATTGCGTTAAAAGAAAGGTTAAACCCCTATTTTAGTCTTTGAACTATTATACGGACCTCCGATTTGGTCCCTAAACTAAAGAAACCCTTAATTTAGTCCTTGAATTATTGTACGGACCCCTAAGTTAGTCCTTAAACTATTGTATGGACCCCCAAGTTAGTCCTTAAACTAAAGAAATCCTTGATTTGATCCCTAAATTATTGTACGGACCCCGATTTAGTCCCCACTGTTTATAATTTGGCCTAAGTTAGTCCTTCTACTAAATAATAGCTCAGGGACCAAATTGGGGCGAAATTGTAAACAATAAAGACCAAATTGGGGGTCCGTACATAATTCAAGGACCAACTTAGGCCAAATTATAAACAGTGGGGACTAAATCAGGGTTCGTACAATAATTTAAGGATCAAATCAAGGATTTCTTTAGTTCAAGGACCAAATCGAAGGTCCGTACAATAGTAATGGAAAATGAATGCATATCATTTCATTAGTCTTATGTGTCATTGCGTTAAAAAAAAAGGTTAAACCCCTATTTTAGTCTCTGAACTATTATACGGACCTCTAATTTGGTCCCTAAACTAAAGAAACCCTTAATTTAGTCCTTGAACTATTGTACGGACCCCTAAGTTAGTCCCTAAACTATTGTTTGGACCCCGAGTTAGTCCTTGAACTAAAGAAATCCTTGATTTGATCCCTAAATTATTGTACGGACCCCGATTTAGTCCCCACTGTTTATAATTTGGCCTAAGTTAGTCCTTCTGTTAAATAATAGCTTAGGAATCAAATTGGGGCGAAATTGTAAACAGTAAAGACCAAATTGGGGGTCCGTACATAATTCAAGGACCAACTTAGGCCAAATTATAAACAGTGAGGACTAAATCGGGGTCCGTACAATAATTTAGGGATCAAATCAAGGATTTATTTAGTTTAAGGACCAAATCGAAGGTCCGTACAATAGTAATGGAAAATGAATGCATATCATTTCATTAGTCTTATGTGTCATTGCGTTAAAAAAAAAAAGGTTAAACCCCTATTTTAGTTTCTAAACTATTATATGGACCTCCGATTTGGTCCCAAACTAAAGAAACCCTTAATTTAGTCCTTGAACTATTGTACAGACCCCTAAATTAGTCCCTAAACTATTGTATGGACCCCTGAGTTAGTCCTTGAACTAAAGAAATCCTTGATTTGATCCCTAAATTATTGTACGGACCCCGATTTAGTCCCCACTATTTATAATTTGGCCTAAGTTAGTACTTCTGTTAAATAATAGCTCAGGGACCAAATTGGGGCGAAATTGTAAACAGTAAAGACCAAATTGGGGGTCCGTACATAATTCAAGGACGAACTTAGGCCAAATTATAAACAGTGGGGACTAAATCAGGGTCCGTACAATAATTTAGGGATCAAATCAAGGATTTCTTTAGTTCAAGGACCAAATCGAAAGTCTGTACAATAGTAATGGAAAATGAATGCATATCATTTCATTAGTCTTATGTGTCATTGCGTTAAAAAAAAGGTTAAACCCCTATTTTAGTCTCTAAACTATTATACGGACCTCCGATTTGGTCCCTAAACTAAAGAAACCCTTAATTTAGTCCTTGAACTATTGTACGGACCCCTAAGTTAGTCCCTAAACTATCGTATGGACCCCCAAGTTAGTCCCTAAACTATTATATGAATCCCCAATTTGGTCCCTACTATTTATCAATTTAGCCCCAACTTAGTCCTTCTGTTAAATAATAACTCAGAGACCAAATTGGGGCGAAATTGTAAATAGTAAAGACCAAATTGGGGGTCCATACATAATTCAAGGACGAACTTAGGCCAAATTATAAACAGTGGGGACTAAATCGGGGTCCGTACAATAATTTAGGGATCAAATCAAGGATTTCTTTAGTTCAAGGACCAAATCGAGGGTCCATACAATAGTTCAGGGACCAAAATGGGGATTTAACCTAAAAAAAAAGTAAATAAAAATTATTATTGTGAAGAGCTTTTTTATATTTATAGTTAGAGTATTTTTACAATAATTTTTTACAACTTAAAATTAATTCTTTTTTAAGAAATGTTAAAGATGTATCCCTGTATTAATATGTACAATTAAAAAATTAATTTTTTAAATACTAATCTCAAAAATTAAATTCTAAACTTAATTTATAAAACACATATTTTCACAATAATAAAATGTATTATAACTAAATAAAAATACTCTTATTTAATAAGTGATACAATTAAGTAAAAATTCAGAAAATAATAGGCAAGATTGTTTTTAAAGCCCTCTAACTTATCCAATTTCAGCAAATAAGCTTATAAATTAAATAACAAACAATAAATAAGCCTTTGAACTGTGACATTGAAACAAATTAGCCCTTTGTTAGCAAATGCTATTACTTTTCGTTAATTTCAACTGATGTAATAATTAAAAGAAACACCTAATGCAAAAGTATTAATGTAGTAATTAAATAAAATTAGTAACTAAAATTAAAATTATTTATTTTCTTTTAATTGTTAGATCATTAGGCATTAATGATAGTCATTTCTTTTATTTCCCACATAAGTTAAAATTAACTGAAATCAACAATGGTCATTAATGAGGGACTAATTCACTCTAATTGCATGGTTTAATAAATTATTTACTTCTTTAAAATTTTGGAGCTTATCTACCAAAATGAGATAAGTTTGAGGGCTTAGAGAAAGGTTTTTCCCTTTTCCAAAGTAATACCCCTAGAGGGAATAAACATTCCTCCATTCAAAATGGGGATGGGGGGAATTTTGAAAATTGAAAATATTTTGAACGCAAAAGAGAAATAAAAGAAGAGATTATCTAATCTATATCTTAAAAGAATATATTAAAAATTATTAAATATATTTTTTTAATAAAGTTATATAAAAAATAAAAATTAAGTTTTAATTTATTAATTTTTTAATTAAATTTACTTAATATTAAAATTAATCCATTCAAAATGGGGATGGGGGGAATTTTGAAAA